TGGTAATTCTCGTGTACTTATTTAGAATATATTAGTCGTAAAATCCGACTGTGTAGCAATTACTTTTGCCTACACTTCATTTTTCGAACGTTGCGAAGTCGAAATTCGGAATCGCGGGCCGCATCATCCCGCGCAGCGCCGGAACATCCGAGACCGAGCCAGGAGAACGAGCTGATTTCTCGCCAGATTCATCAATCGTTTCGCCAGACTCCGGAGACCCAGGGTAAACTCGGTGAAAAGCAGAGTGACCCAAAAGCGGAGTCATCACTCTGTTGACCGTCCACGTATGTGACAGTTGAGCTGAAAAGTTCGTAGGCTAACATAGTAAAACTCATTTTTTTGGTAAAATTCGATTTTATTATTCAACATATCTTCCACAGCAGCGCTTGAGATCGATATTTCGGCCAAATACATGATTTTTTAATATTTAATTAAAATTATCTGGATGACTCACAAACCTTTTTAATGATACTTCATTTCTTCATACGAAATACAAACGATACCATACCAAACCTTTGTTTAATTTACTTCCGGTCATTATTTCCGGCTAAATACACGGTCCAAAAAAGAACAATTAATTACAAATAATAGAATGACTCACAAATCTTTTCATTTGCACTTCAAAACTCTTCATATAAAATACAAACGATTTAAAAGAATAGTTTTCCAACCGGAGTTTTTTTTCAGGTCAAGTGTACAACGCACTTGTTCCAATGTTTTCTTTGTCAATGTGCGACAGAAAAAAATGAAGTTCCTTCGTACGATAGGCCCTGTTGAGTTCCACGCGATTCCTCGCCTCCGAAGAGGCACGCCGCTACACATAGTAACTTTAACCAACACCTTCATCACGAAAGATCAGCCGGAGCTTTCTCTTTTTTATTCGTAATAAGTGGCGCGAGGCTAACAAAAATTACACTACGGTACTTTCTACAACGGGTCTAGAGACCTTCCTTAGAGCGATAAGAGAGCCACTATAAGGATTCCGAATGAAGCTCCGTGGTGTCACCCGAAAGAATCTCGAATCGCTTTAAAGGCCAAATCACACTAGCGATTGGCGATTGACGATTGACAATTATAGATTAGATTTTAACGAATCAACAAGCATCAGCATTAGCTTGTTTTGTTCCAATTGGTCAAGTTCCAATCTTCAATCGTCAATCATCTATCGCTAATCGCTAGGGTGATACGAGCTTTAGGCTTCTCTCTAGGTGTTTTCCAGGGTTATGACTCCTGCACACGGGACGCGGTAATGCTTGCCATGCGGCGGAAGTTCGCGCGACAGCCAATTAATATCCTGCATTCCGTAATAACCTTCTAGCTCTTACGGAAAAACAACATATTGATTGGCTGTCGCGCGAACTTTCGCCGCGCGGCAAGCATTACCGCGTCCTGTGTGCAGAA